TTTGATTTACATGCAAACATATCTATAATGTTGCTTAATCGGCATTTTATTTCATTACATAAGCATTTTAGTATGGAAACACACAACAAAATATTAAAACAAAGCAATCACTTGATTTACATGCAAACATATCTATAATGTTGCTTAATCGGCATTTTATTTCATTACATAAGCATTTTAGTATGGAAACACACAACAAAATAAAAATGTTTTGTTGCAACAAAATTATTTAAAACTATCCATTGAACATTTTACAGTTTGGAGGTTACTCATTATAGCTTCTTTGTTGTAAAGTACAAGGCTACACAATGGGCTGTTTGAGCTGTGCCCAAACCAAGTATCGAAACTCGGTTGGTCTTCAGATTTACCGCCAAGCCACTGAGGGCTGCTCATTATGGATAAAATATATTGTGACTTTATTTTGTAATTAAAAAAAAAAGATCTGCTCTCCATTTTAAACATGTGCCAGTATGTAACATTTACTTATATATATATATATTACATATTGTGGGTATAACGGTCATTTATAATAGTGTAATATTTTCTATTGCTGTAAAGACTGTTATTTCGTGTGTCAAACCTGTAAAAACAGGTTTCGTTATTTTTAATAACAAGTATAAACGTATACATCTATATTTTTACCTCCATCATTGTCCTTTTCATCTCTACAGTTGATTTCTTGAGGGACTCCACAGTCCTTACCACCCCAGCCCAGGTCACACTGGCATAACCAAGTGTCTTCTTGTCTAACGCAGTGTCCATGACTGTGGCAGCTCTTAGGACAACCATCTAAAGTTAGTAAAAAAGAAGAAACGTGACCACTGTAACAAGCAAACACACTTCAAAACCTGTATAATAAACACATGATCTAATATTACTTTTTATGCATGATTTAAAAGGTTGAAAATAATATAAAAACTCTAACATTATCGAAATTCAGGTCAAGTATTTTATGTTTGTTTGTTTTTTTACTGAATAAAATGTTGTCAGCTTAATCCCATTGGACAATCTTGTTTCTAAACAGAAATTAAATGGTGACGTAGGATAAAGTCGGCTTCTTGCGAATATTAATACACTTCAATCATTGCGATTTTTCGATATTTTCATATATATATATGGAAATGTAAGTGATACGACTTCTGTTATTTCGTACAGAATGAATATCAGATCTGTCGGTTATATATATTTAGTTTACTATAAATACAGTTTAACATCAACGAAAAAAAACAAAAACATTTCCATTCAAAAACATTCTGTTTGTTTTTTTTGTTTTTTTTTTAATTTTTGCGCAAAGCTACACGAGGGCTATCTGCGCTAGCCGTCCCTAATTTAGCAGTGAAAGACTAGAGGGAAGGCAGCTAGTCATAACCACCCACCGCCAACTCTTGGGCTACTCTTTTACCAACGAATAGTGGAATTGACCGCCACATTATAACGCCCACACGGCTGAAAGGGCGAGCATTTTTGGTGTGACGGGGATTCGAAACCGCGACCCTAAGATTGCGAGTCGAGCGCCCTAACCACCTGGCCAAAACATTATGTAACGTTCGAACACTTGTTCGAATGTAAACCTGCATTAAAAACCAAGTAGTAAAAATATGTTTAAATAAAGATACAAAAAATTGTTTAATGTTGAAATAAAATAATCACATTCTTTTAAATTGACATTGTTGTTGATGATGTAATTGGAGACTTACTTTTTTAACCAATGAAAAGTTTCCAACAGACTGATGATGAAGAAACAGTGGGTTGGCGTTTCAAACTAATGAAGTGTTAACTTCTTAATGATACGGTTTGCTGTGTCATTTATTGACACTAATAACGAAGTTTGTTATAGATTTATGGTGTTTTTTAAACTGAGGAAAAGTAAACACGTTTTTGTTTTACGGGAATTTTATGAATACTATTTGATGAATATATATCTATATATACAGGGCGTCCGAAAAGTCTGGAAGCATAGGCGATTTACGGATTATCTTAATTTCAGATACGTGTCTGATTATAGCGCTTTCAAAGCATGAGAAGGCCAAGTTAATCCTGTTGTAAATTCAAACAGCATATGGAACACATTCTGTAAAATTAGTTGAAGTGACTATGGTTCCAAACTATCCGGACACTAAGTATATTTCCATATCTGTATTTTGTATTAGGAGCTCATTTCAATGTGAGACTTGTCTATTGATTAAAATAAACACTAACCTGTTGAAAATTGTTAGTCAATAAAGAACAGAAAGCTGTTATTTTTAAAGCTGTTTTACCAAAAAGATGATTCCACTCCAATTCTAAGGTAGAAAACACAATTTTTCTACCTATTATTTATATATATAGTCTTCAGGAACACAGGCTCAGCTCAAGTTTCTTTACTATTATTTATCTTAATAATTGCATATCATATTTCAATGCGCTCTTTTTGCTTTTTACACTTTTGAAAACGTTCGTGGTTCTTATCTTTTTTTTTGCTTTGTAGTTTGTTTGCAATCTTGTTCGTCTATTATCCATTTTAGTTTGTTGTATAACGCTTTTTTTACATAGTGTTTAACGATAATTTTGTATCTTACCCAAAGAACAATGTCGACCCATCCAGCCTTGAATACAAATACATGTGCCGTTGTTACATTGGCCATGATCCAAACAGCGCTGGTCACACGTTCGTTCCTCGCAGTGGAGGCCTGTCCACCCCTTCTCACACTGACATCGACCTTCCTCGCAACGCCCGTGGGGGCCACAGTCCAAGTTGCACGTGGCTGAGGAAGAACGAGTAAAAATTGATGATTAGTTCAAACAGAGGAGCAAACTATTTCACCGCAAAGGGTGAGTAGTCAGTCACATTAAGTTTTGATTATCGTCGGCAAATGGCCGCAATACTCTCTAATAATGACAAGTCATGACTCATATTCCTGACGTTAGGAGATCGTGTCTGCTAGTGGGTGGGGGAATATATTTTAATATACTGGAGTGATGGAGGAGTGACAGGAAACGAGAAGTGATTATTGACTTTATTGCGAGTTTCAACATTACCACTAATCTGTTTGGTGACAAGAAAGTCGGTAGTTAATGCCAAAACTAACTTTCCATCCTCTTCCTGTTTTGTTATTGCTATAGTAGATTTTGATTTATTTTAAATGTTACGAGAGTCAACCCAAATTGTTATTGCATTCTCGAACTTTGCAGGAAAAGCAAACTAAGAAGACTCTGACAACTTGAAATAACGAAGAACATGTCAACGACAACTAGAAAAAACAAACAAACGTACTTTTAGAAATTAGTAATGGAAATAAAAATAATGGTGCACAATAGATGATACTGACATAAGAAGTAAACACTCTCAGGTTTCGTGGCAGCCATTTGAATTGCTAGCAAAATCATCATCAATTACAAATCTTAGCTGTGAGGAACAGTCATAACACACAATCAAAAAAACTCAGAGAATGAGTTAAGCTTTGCTACGTTCAATACAGAGCATTGCACTGAGCTGCTTTTCATCAGGAATGAGAAAACTAGACATGAAAAACCCGTTTATACCCTCGGATAAATCTTCAGAGATTGTTGCTTTTCTACCAGGCTGGTTGATATTTTAGTTCGTCTGAAGACGTTCCAGTTGTTTTTTTTTTGGGGGGGGATAATGTCTAAGAAATATCAAACAGTGTAATTGATACGATTCGAAGTAACAGCTATTGGGAGCAAAGCGAAAAGCAATTTTTACTTCTTTACTCAAGTTCTCTAGCCTCAAATTCTATCGAATAAGGTCAGACACACGTGTTTAATATTTTTATTTGCACTTGAATGAAGGTATAGTTATGAAAAGTGATTGAAAAGTGAAAGTTTAGTGAGCTTCAATTGAATATGATTTGGGAGTACGATAAGACTGACGGAACTGTATGAAATATGAAAGCAATACACATGAAAAGGACTTGGCATTTTCATTCACGAAAGCTATGTATATATACCAGCACATTAGATAAACGCAGGAAGATAAGTATTGAAGTCTTGTTTTTTTTGTTAGATGATTTTGATGATAATGCAACACTAAAAAAAAAGAAGTTGAGCAAAGCTCACTATTTTCTCTCATGTATTCACTCCTCCTCCCCCTAAATTGATAAGCTTCTTTTAAGAAGCTGATATTTGTTTACAGAAAGTAACGAAGACAAGTTTAATAATGTACATATAATTGGTATTTGATATTCAAACTGATCTGAAACCAAAATTACTGAAGACGATATTACATATCCTAGATTATCAATAAAATGTGAGGATTAAAAAAAATGATATTCCTAATATCCATGACTTTTAGTGACGCAATATTATTTATCCTGGACTCTTTGCGTTATTTCACGCATTGCGGGAGCAAGCTGGTCGTATATTTAGGAGCTATCGAAGGTCAAAAACAACAAAGTGACCAGAACAAAGGCCTGGACTCAAGAAGAAGTCTACAGCTATTACTGAGCACTACAGACAGAACAAAGACAACGTGATTAATAGTAAAGAAAAGAAACGGTCACAGAGAATAGGTCTACTAGAAAGGAACAAAGCACGTAATTCAAACTGAAACAATTTCAATCCGTAAAAAACAAAACAAAAAAAACATATCATGAGTAACTTCAATTTAGATAAGCTATGATACGTTAATAGCATTTCTTATGCATTGATATTTCCTTTTCTTTTTTTTTTTAGAAAAGATTATCTAAAGTAGTGCACGTAAGCTTCCTCGTTGTTGTCAGTCAGGCCAAATCAAACTGAAGTTCCATTAGAGACTGCAGACAGGATTGAAAGAAGCTGCAGTCTGAGGGATTTGGACGACGCCCCATGCACCGGCAGTTTAAGAAATCTTTATTTATGTTGGTTATCAAGGAGGCGAGCGTTTCCCGAAGATAATGTCCACAGAGCACGAGGATAGCGCCAGCTCGGAGAACCTCCATTATTTCCCGTAGCTTCCCAGTGGACAATGGAAGTAATTCTGCCACGAACAAAGGATTGAAGGTTTTACCGTCAGGTGAGTGGAGAAGGTAGATAAAGGCAGGGTACAGTAATAGTACCAGCTGTCTAGATATCGACTCACTGCTACAGCCAACTTCGATCGATATAACCGCATGTGCCTTCAAAATAAAAAAGGAGAATTAAAACAGTAGTTTAACAATTGTATTGTTTAGTCTGCGACTGTTTCCATAGCGATGTTTGTGAAGGTCTACCCTTGGAAACAAATTAAAGTTACTATAACAGGAAAACGTGCATTAAACAAAGCGAACAAACAAGATTACATTTTAATATACGTCTAAAGCAAAATAACAACAATAAATCTTGTACCCTTGGAACAGTCTGTTCCCGTCCAGTGTTCGAAACACATGCACGTTTCGCTGTCGAGGTCGTACACTCCATGAGCAGAACAATCTGGAAAGCACCTGCTGAGCCTGTCGTCGGCTTGGCTGCAATTCACTCCTCGCCACCCAATCTTACACCAGCACTGCCCTTTCACACAAACCCCATGGTTAGAGCACGTAGGATCCTCACAGTCAACTGAATGAGAAATGTGGGTTAAAACAGTCTCTCGAATAATCCTTAACTATAGTTCTAAATTAATTTCAATGATAGTAAATCAATGCACAACATATACCAATAAACTTTACATATACAATATAAAACATGATAATCATTTGGGTACCCGTTTCTATCTATTTATCAATTTTAATGATTATCATGTTTTATATTGTATATGTAAAGTTGGGTACCTGTTCCTATCTATTTTCTTTACATATACAATATAAAACATGATAATCATTAAAATAGATAGATAGATAGAAACGGATACCCAACTTTACATATACAATATAAAACATGATAATCATTAAAATAGATAGGAACAGGTACCCAACTTTACATATACAATATAAAACATGATAATCATTAAAATAGATAGATAGATAGAAACGGATACCCAACTTTACATATACAATATAAAACATGATAATCATTAAAATAGATAGATAGATAGAAACGGATACCCAACTTTACATATACAATATAAAACATGATAATCATTAAAATAGATAGATAGATAGAAACGGATACCCAACTTTACATATACA